TGCTTGAAAGTTAAACGACTTTTCACCATTCTGATATCCTGGGGGAGCGCATTCCACAAAAAAATAGCTTGTACGAAAAAGGAAGAATGAAGGAATCTACCAGACGGACATTAAAAATAAAATAAGTCATCTATCTTCCCTATTCTGACTAAATCTCCCAGTCTAATTAGATAATGTGAGTAAGGTAATTGATAGTGCATCTGTATTAACGTACTTTTGAACTATAAAATCTCATGCGCAGTTGGCTTATCATCAGAGTCTGGCCGTCGTAATCAAAATCAATCTGGACACATTATTATTAAAATTTATAATTATTTTATCTCCGTATTGATTAGCCAAATGAGATAATTAACGACTACATCGCTGTGCTTTGACTGTATCATGTTTTTATAGAACTGTTTATCTTATTAACAAGATATACGGTATCCTGTTAATTACTTTTGTTAATCACAAGTAATTTTTAATAATTTAATCAAGTTTTATGACATAAGTAAACTGATAGAATATATTGAATTGCGACAGGTGCATCAGCTATCCCTATTCCCTCGCACGATCCCTTGCGTGTTGACAAATGACAATAGTAATAAATAAAACTAATTTAGCGTTGTTGCCCATTTGGCTCGTTGTTATTGTAACGTGACCGACAGACGTGCCGCACTATTTCAAACATATAATATGTCCCATCTAACGAGTAGAAAATTTTAAAATGAAATATCACACCTTATTAAAACTGCTTGATTACAGCTATGACCACTTTTAAAAAAACTTTGTGTCTCGTATATGTATAATCTTAATTAAAAATCGATCAATATATATCGGAAATTCAACTCGGAAATGTTCGGAAATTATGTCAATAAGCAATCTTAATCTGAAGAATATAAGTAAATTAAGATATATAGGTATTATTTTCGGCTTAACATATATTAGATACAGTGCATGTAACACTTACTTTATACTAGTTGTGATATGACTCTATCTATGTATGTAACAGGAGGACGGCAATAAACCATAGGTACGCCAGGTATAAATCTCGATTCCGTGCTAAATTACCTACTTATATATATATTTTTTAAATTGGACTGTTTGATAGCGTTTTATTTTATCAAGTCACGCCAATGTCATACCGAGCCTGTTGCACACAGCAGCGTCAAGATTAACCACTTTTTTCCTGGATCTTTAAAATCGAGATAAAAATGTCACGGGAATACCCTTGTACGCGTAAATTAATCAATAATTCCTTTCCTAGTGCGCTTTTGTCATTCAAGGAATTCTTTTAAAAAAATATTCCTTTACGTAATCTTATCATTGATACTGAGGTAATAAAAATTGTCAGAATGTTTAAATGTCATGCATGGTGCAGATATAACTTTAATCAAAACAAATTGTATTGCGTATGCACATTGCTTATTCTATGAAAATTATTTACTTAACGCATTATTTTAATAAGAGAGTACTTAAACACAACACGAATGTAATGTTAAAAACGTAAAAACTTACTGCCAACAATCCGATAAGGATATTTTAAAGATTGTAGAACTTGGCAACCGACTCATTTGAGGAAAATACTGTTAAAAGTACTCTTTATTGATTTAGTTAAAAATAACGTTGATTACAAGCACCCTCAATGTTTTTAATAAGGAGTTACTATATACATGTTTTATGTATTTCGTATCTTAACGTTTAGGTACATAGGGAAAGGTATATATGTCGATAAAGTTAACGTTGTTATTTTTTTAAACTCTGTTTAAGTTGCAATGTATGTGTGTAATACTCAATTTTAAAACTGATCTGCAATCGACTGATTTGAATTTTTTTATAAGTACATGTTTAGATTGTGTAACCATAAATAAATACTAATCTGCTTAAACTGTCAAACACCAAGCGGTCACCGGTGACCGCAACCTATTGTTCTATAATTGTGTCTATAATGACGGTACTCGACGAGTTACGAGCTTATTTTCAAAAAGATTTAAATTTATTTCGTGTATGTACATACCTACGTTTAGTTAATCGCATATAGGTACTACATGTATAAAATGAGCGCTGCCAAGTATATAGAATTTTACGGATCGCATCTCAGGGACTCTTAACATAAATTGGGGTAATTGATCATTAAATACCCCATTTCGTCGAAAATATCCTTAAGGCAATAAAACAGGAATAGAAACATACTAACAAGTAATTTCGTATACAAGAAATAAGATTAATACAGGAACTATACTGTATAGTAAGTTTTGATGTGCTAGTGAACCGACCAATAACGGTTATAAAAGATAAGGTTTCATAAAAAAAAAAACATACAGTACACATACAATAACAATAGGTACGTACTGAATCAAACATCATTTCCTTACCTGTAAATCACATACGTAACTTGGCTGGGTGTATACATATGTATAAAAGAAACAGTCGCATTTACAATTTACGGATGTCATCTCGAGGACCATGACAACAGCATAAATTGGGGCAATGACCATAATAATAAGAATGTCGATACACGACAGACGTCAATTTATTTTCAGAGCTAATAATATGGTGGCTCCATTTGAGTTGCTCTTTGTGACTCTACCATGTAACAGTCGCGTGCAAATACATTGTGCCACGATTGCTAAATACATGTCAGGTCATTTTAATGCAACTTGATGACTATTGAACATTAAATCAATGAACACGTTGCTATTTCTAGAAATGAGCTTAGATTTTATTTCATGTGTGTGTAGCTTATTCCACGAATAACCTATAATATTACCTAGTAGCTTCTGCCAGCGAATAAAGTGCCCTATCTAGTATTTCACACTACAATCTAAGCTATCAGACCACCACGAATAGGGCCCAATAGAGCTGATGCCGATACGAAGTCGAGGAAAACGTAAAAGGTTACTAAGCCTCCGGCTCGAAATGCAGGCGTAAGAATGGGGTGGTTTTTAGTTAGTAAGAGTCGAACGCTCCTTCCCACCTTGCTCAGGCGGGAGAAGCAATTCTATGATTTTCCACCTTTAAAAAAAACACTATAATCTATACTATACCTACCACATCCAAATCTTTCCATTAGTTTTTTGTGAAAGAGTAACAAACACACATACATACATCCTCATAAACTTTCGCATTTATAATATTGGAAGAATAAGGGCACCTTTTTAACCGACTACCTGTAAACGAGAATGTTCTCAATTCATTATAGGTACAATACATTTCCAACTGAAACTTCGGCATGTACCTAAATACTGAGGTAGGTCAACGAGAATATTCAATGGCAAGTAAGTAATTAAAATAATAATATAACTACAAAGAAATTGATCAGAAAATAATTTCATCTTAATTTACATAGTCGCTAATTACCTAAGTTATTATTGTCTTCCTTTCAACACGAGGCTCAAGGCAAACATTGCGGTAATTTAAGTAAGTATCTGTCTTTTATACGCCAATAAAAATAAATTATATTTGTTTACAATCAATGTGCAGTACATACTTTTGTATTTACAAGTTTCAACGCAATCGAATTAGTAGTTTTTGCATGATGCGTGCACATACAGACAAACAGATACCAGCATTTTTTTAATCACATTTCGGGTTCGGTATATACCTATGTAGATAGATACCGGTTACACCCCCTCTACTTATTATTTTAATATTTTCAATGTACAAAATTTACACTTCTACAGTTTTAGTATAGGTACGTATCGATTAAATACGTTACTTGTAGTAAAGTATAACTGCATCTGTATGAAAAATACGGTTCAATAGAATTTACACCTATTTGTTAATAAGGCAAAAAGCCTTATTACTCATCATCTTTTCAGGATGTCATAACTTTAATTTTATTAAGATTTAGAACTATATACTAGGTTTACTGGAGTCCAGTGTCTACACATATTTTGGTTTTCGAAACCCTAGAGTACTTAAATATCTATACAATATGGTAATAGCTTGTTTGAACTTGCAAATTTACAGTAACAACCTAATGATAGCAACTAAGTCTTACGTTAACGGAAAT